AACAACAACAACAACAACAACAACAAAGCACAACTCTCAATCTTCTCAATGCTTCAAGAAAGACAAACTGCTATCAAACAAAAACCAAAGAAAAGAAAAGAAAACAAAAATTAAGAAAAAAAGCGTAAAACGAAACGAAACTTAACAAATTTCTATTAAGGACAAAGACTGCAAATAGAGATTTAAATAAATATTTTAATAAATACTAAAATAAAAAGAAAGCTAACAAAATATATAAATTAATAATTTAAATATATAATTAATGCAAATGTTGGCGCTTTTATATTTTTCCATTTGCCTGAGTTCGTTGATTTCAAGCCACAAAAAGCTTTTGCCAGAAACATGTTTTACTTTGTACATTTGTTTTTGCCACACATGAATATGAATATGAATATATATATATATGTTTATTCGTATGGTGTGCATTGGTAAACATACAATTAGTTTAGTTTAGTTTAGTTCAGTTCGCCGCGCAACAAGACAGAAAAAGCAACAACAATAACAACAAAAAATACCAGAATTAAGCTTCAGCCAGTAATACTTTAAAAAGCATATACCAAATAACTGCAAGAAAAAATATATTTGAATATAAATTAATATAAAAAAAAAAAAAAGATTTTTTTTTTCTGTAAAACAATTTCACACATTTTGCCCAGCATAAACAGATCCAAAAGGAACAATAGCTTAAAACTAAAAACCATAAAAGAAAAATAAAATGATTAATATTGAGCATAGAACTAGAACCAGATACAAATGCAGCAAACAGAAAAGATTAAGAAAAAATACCGAAAAATACCAAAAAAAAATTTTAGTATTACGCATAATAAGATATTGTGACTACAATTAAAAAGAATCGCAAGCATAAAACACTTAAACACAGATGAAAACAAAACGAAAACAAGAAAAAATCCAAAAAACCAAAAAGAAATGTTGTTAAGATTAAAAATGAAATGTTTTATAATCGTTATTCAATAAAAGTAAATTAAAAAAAAAAAAAAAACACAAAAACATAAACAACAATTGCAAACGAACCAATTACGATATAAAGAAAAATACATATATATATAAAAACGAAAGAAATGAAAAAAAAAGAAAAGAAATTTAGCTAAAATAGTAGCGAAGTGCCCAAGCAATGATCATTTCAATTTGTTATTTAGTTAAACGCTAAGTTTTATTTATTTTTTTCCTGCTATAACTACTTATTTAAGTATTTACGCGTAGTTATTGTTAGTAGTTTTATACATCTACCCTGGTATTTCCACTTGGTATATTGTATACCCTCTGAATGCATGGGCCATGACGATTTGTTAGAGTTGGGTACTCTATGCAAGTATGGGTTAGTCAAGGCTTGAGAGCAGAGCTGTGCTTGAGAGCTCTCCATTTGGGCGTGAGCGCAGCTCTGCCCTAGTTGTTAGCAATAAGCTTTTAAGGTTGACACTCTAGTACTGTAAGTCGATAATATATATATATATATATATCTACATATATATATGTATATATATATATATATATTTAGAGCATTGACAATCAAAGCCATCAATCTATCAATCAGCCAGTCAATCATGCCAAGTGAATTGCCCTGCCCAAAAATAAACGCCTATTGTACAACTCCTACTTCATGTCATCCACTAGCAACTAGTATCGTTCATAGTCTAGAGCAGTTCAGTTGCATTGCTTCAAATAGTGACTCTAGTGTTGATTAACAGAAGAAAAAATTATAAACAAAATCCCCAATACCCTGAAAATAAAAAAAAAACCCCCGCCCCCATCGATGCGACACATGCTGCAATTACTGAATGTTGAGCTAAGATGCCAGACCCCTCCACAAATGGTGAGTGTGCCCAGATGGTCGTTGTGTAAAGAATCAAAAAAATATATAAAAAAGTGTGCCCAGACGGCCGCCAGCTGGTGTCTTGTGCCCGTTTATCGTCGTTATCGTTATCGTAATTGTTATCGTATTCGTATACTTTAATTGGCTTTTGGTTCTTATCATACGCAATGCACTGTGGAAAAGCGCACCCAACTTTAATTTGTTCATCATGATATATCCATATTTATATATATATATATATATATATATATATATATATATATATTTATATATGCAAATGTATGACATTTGTGTGCGTACATATGCATATACATTAAGTATATAAGTATGTATGATAACATCTTTTTTGATGCGCTGCGCTTTTGTTAAACGCTAACTTGGCCAGCTACCAATTTTTTTAACTTAATCTACCCAACCATATATATGTATATATATATATACGCTATATATAAATATATAAAGCTATTCTACTTAATATATACAAATATATTCCTTATGCTATTTACTTTTCGTTACATTTTTTTGTTCTTCTACTCTTTTAATTTCCATTTTGTGTTATTCTTTTTTTGTGGTTTTCTTAACGTATAAATGTAAGAAACGCTTTAGCGCTGCCTGCACCCGCCGTCATCAAAATCCTGCTACAGCTACAACAACAGCAACAGTAACAGTAACAGTTCAAGTAACAGTAACAGTAACAGTAGAGGCAACAGTAACAGCAAGAGCTAACCGCATTAAGCGCAATAACAACAGCAGCAGCTACAACAAGAACAACAACATCAACAATAACAACAACAACAGCTTGAAATATATATATATTTAAATATATATATATAGTACATATATATGAAAAACGAATGAAAACTGAAAGAAAAGCGCCTGCTCTGGCTTATCAATGGCTATGGCTGAGGCTTTCGCCGGCTCCTGCTTCTGCTCCTAAGTCCCGTTTCCCTGTGCTTCCCGATTCCGGTGCATGTGCGTTAAATTGCTATAATCGAATAATTAGAATCGAGCAATCGATTGATCACAATAACTAAAACAAAACGAGCAAATCAATGCAAAATGCAAAAGAACAAAAAAGAAAAAGAAAAAAGAAAAACAAACAATGAAAGCAAAGAAGTTGAAATGAAAAACTGATAAGAAAACAACAAACCGCTCGCTAAAGTAAAGACAACAGCTCCAGCTACAACAACAACACTTGGCGCACGCTTAGCACATTTGCATCTAATACTAACTATCAGCTACACACACACACACACACACACACAGACACACAGACACACATACAGTTACACACACAGACAAGAGCTACACTTTAAGTTTTCGTTGCCTAACTCCATTTGATACACTCAAGTCTAACGCTTTGATTTCTGTCATGATTTTCTTACGCTTCCTTTTAACAAATACTCTACTCTACTCTACTCGAATGAGCATTATCCAATTACTTGCCTAACTACTTGAAATCGCTTACCTATATTTAACTAAATATATATATATATTTATAGTTATATATACTTACTTAAAGCTGCTGCTACAATCACCGAATAAAATGATATCACCAAATCCCCGTAAAAGAAAAACCCCTTCACAAGTTCACAAGTTTGTTTTCCTTCTTAACCAACACACGGCGAACAACATGAGCGTCAACGGCGCTGTTAAAGGCAACAACGCAGCACTGTTAACGGCAACAGCGCCGTTAACATTGTGCTGCTGCCTGTTCATATTATTTGGCACAACTCGAGCACCTACAATTTTTGTTGAAAGCACACAAAAACACACACAGAGATCAAACAAACAAACAAACAAACAAACAAACAAACAAACAAGCAAACAGTCATACATACAGTCAGTCAGTCAGTCAATCAGTCAATCAATCATACATCAACACACACACACAGTCTAACTAACTCTATTCTCTATTTGTCTCTCTCATGCCAATTACTAACTCTCTTTTTCTTCAACGTGCGTCGCAATCCCTGCCGAAGATGCACACACATACACACACACACACTGGGCTGGCGCTTGATTGATCAGTGCTCGCATTTGATGTAGTACTGATTGATCGCAGGCGCTGCAAACCGAAACTGATCGGGTCTGATCTGATCTTTCGGTTTCGATTTGCTTTGGTTTCACTCTCTCTCTCTCTCTCTCTCTGTCTCTCTCAATATATATATATTCATTTTTATGTCAAGTTTAACAGCGACGACGCCAAACGCCGGCACATTTTGTTTATTACCATTTTGGCAATACGCTTTCGGTTTTTTGTTAGCCAAATCTCTCTATATATCTCTCTCTATCCAGTCAACTTTTTTTGAGTTCCATCGTTCAAGCGGTACAAACCAAGCGCAATTTAAATTAACAACAGCAATTTGCTTTCGATGTGTACATACCAATATATACAATAATCTATAATCAAACAAAATACACACACACCAACATACACACACGCACACACACACACACACACACACTCACACACTTAAACTTATTACTTATATGAATACCTCGAGTTGAAAATACACACATTTTGTTCTTGGCTTTCTTTCTATGTTTCCGTGTACTTATTTCTTAAATCTACGCTAATTTGTTTCTAACAGTTGTTCTAACTCTTCTGTTTTGTTTTGTTTCTTGTTTTTTATTGAGTGATAACATTTTAATAATGATATATCGAATATTACAAATCTTTAATGCTTACAATTTATAACTTATTTCAATATATATATATATATATATATACATTTTTTTTTATTTATTTTCTTTTATATATATATATATATATATATATATATATCTATATATAAATATACTACCTTATTTACACACTGCGTTCTTTTTCTACGTTCTTCTTCATACCAAATCGACAACAACAAAAAAAATAACATAAAAATAAATATATAAATAAAATAAAATAAAAATATAATATATACATAAAAATCAATATAAATATATATATAAATTACTGACGAAATATATATATTTATATATGCCAAAATCGAATCGAAAACAAATTTGCATATTTAAATCCATGCTTTAAATATACAAAATACCAACTACGAAAAAATACTGCAAATTAATACAAAAAAAACAAAATCGAATACCTGAATATTGCCATATGAAAAAATGAAAACTGAAAAAAAAAACGAAAAAAAAATACCACACAATACAAAACTAAATGCAAATGAAAATGCAAATGCAAATATTAATGCAAAATGCCAAATGCAAAATGCAAAATAGGCCCGTCGGCTTCTGGGGCAAAATTGTCGGCTCTTTGTGCGTGATCGCTGGTGTGCTGACAATCGCACTGCCGGTACCGGTTATCGTCAGTAATTTCAATTACTTCTATCACCGCGAAACGGATCAGGAGGAGATGCAGAGCCAAAATTTCAACCACGTTACAAGTTGTTCATATTTACCTGGTGCACTAGGTACATATATATATATATAACTAATCATATCCAAAATGTTTGAAAAAAAAATATTTAAAAAAATATCGAAAAAAAAAACCACGCTCATTTGTGAACTACGAAATGCGAAAGCAATGCTAATCGATTCCTTTTCTATATCATCCCCCCAAAATAAAAAATAAAAAAAAAAATAAAAATAAAAAACGTCCCAACGTAAAACCCGAAACACATACGCACACACACACGAACACACACACGCATACAAATGCCCAAACCGAAACTAGGTCAACATTTAAAAAAATCCTCACTCTCCGAATCGTCATCGGACATTATGGATTTGGATGATGGCATTGATGCAACCACACCAGGTCTGACTGATCATACGGGCCGCCACATGGTGCCATTTCTGAGAACGCAGCAATCGTTTGAGAAGCAACAGCTGCAGCTCCAACTACAGCAGCAACAGCAGCAGGGACTTCAGCAGGGACAGCTGCAGCAGCAGCAACTCGGCCAGAACGGCCTAAGGAGCACAAATAGCCTACAGCTAAGGCATAATAACGCAATGGCCGTCAGTATTGAAACCGACGTCTGACTACTAGGTGAGTATCCAAATCGTAATACCATACATAATGACAATAGCCTTCCAATTGTCGGCATAATATTGATAAAGCAGAGACTTTGATAGTTCAGTTGACCAAGCAGGTTGCGGGTTCAAAGCACTTTTTTTTGGCCAAAGGCTCTGTGAGAACTGTACAGCTCTTCATTCATTTAAAAGCCTTGACTTAACAAAGCCAACAACATGTTTCCAAGCAAAAACTCCTTTCACCTACTCTACACGGAGATATATATCTTATATAGCTCGCCGATTCACATGTAAAGTGCATAATCAAGCTCGTAAAGGCCCATCGTGTTGAAGATACCTTGCAAAACAGAAAAGTTTCCCCAGCAAGCATTCAAATTCAATACGGCTTGTTCTGACATATTCACTGAAAAATGGAACCATACAACATTTCATGATGATTGCTTAACTCATTGTGCAAAAGGAATTTTAAATTTATACTACCTTATCGGACTAACGCAAAATTTCACCCTTAACTGTGCTGATACGCTGGAAATCGAATCCTTGAAACTATTTGCTTTTACAACAGATCTGCTTCCAACTCACATTTAATCATTTTTGGATAAATCATTGGTTTCACGCTTGTCGCCAAATCGCTTAAATGAAAAATGCGTATCAATTGCTGTATGAAAGTTCATTTCACGCTTTTCGGAAAATCCACCTCTTCAAGTGGATAAGTGGCTCAAGGATTGCTTGCGACACGATTCGTACGATTACCTTCACACCTGTTTGCAAGGCTTAAAATAAGGATTCATAGATTTCAACATTCCATTCACCCGCAACTGTGGAATATTCGCGGAAAATGTGCTGCATAAAACTTTCTTGTATATTTATAGCGTGACGCGCTCTACACTTGGAATAAATTCCCCTATACAAGCGTCACAAGTTCAGCTAATGTGATTGTTTTTTCCAACTGATATCATTTAATAAATTGTAATTTATTTTATTTTTATGCTGTTCGCAGTCAAACAAATGGAATACAGACGAAACTTGCGCAGTGAAATGTTACGTTGGATGCCAGAAACGTCATCAAAAGCAGTCTAATCTAGAATTTTATTAATAATAAATAAATATTAAAGTAATAATAATAAAAATAATTATAGTAAGCAGCGTAGTTGTAAATTAAACAGCAAATGTAAAACAAACTACACACAAACACACACACACACACACACACACGGACAGATACACACACAAAGTAGCTTGATAAAGTAGCTAAATGTCAAAGCGATAGTTTTTTTTTAATACTCAATTTCGGCGGCAACAATTTACACAGCTGCTCAAAGGAGACCATGACACACACACACACACACAAACAAATACACTCACACACACAGAGAGAGAAGTAAACAAATTGAAGAAAAAACAAAACTCAACTTAATACCTATGTTCAAATTTAGCAATTAACAACTAACCATCGTTATAGTCAAGAAACAACGCGATGAAGAATGAGAACGAGAACAAAAACAAAACCAAAAATGAGAATTATCTTAGTAGTCGAATCTAATTGGAGTTTCTTCCTTTCTTTAGAAGCTAGCTACAACAAAAAAGAAAAACAAAAAAAATATAAAACGAAAAAAAAAAATGAAACTAAAACCAAAACAAAATACAGAAAACAGACAAGAAAGCAACAATACATACAAACATACAATATCTGCTAATTTTATTTTCAACTTTAAATTATGCTCTATGAATAAATATTAGTCAAATATTAGTAAACAAAAAAGAAGTTATATATACATATAGATATATAAAAACACAAAAAAGAAATTAAATGAAATGAAAACTAAGGCAATGCAAATTATAAATATCAATAAATAACACACGAGTAGCGATTGCAGTTGACCATGTCCTCATCAAAATATCGAAATAGTTAGCTAAAAAAAAAAATAATGCCTAGAATTTGGTTTGTCTCTCTTTGCAATTCTAGTTTTCTTCCAAACCCATTGCAACAGAGTTTGTTTCCTTTGGCAAACTCATGCAGCTAGCCAAACGTTTAAGGACAACGCACAAAGCAGAATCGCAAAAGTGAACACGAACAAAATTCAAATTGTTAAATATCATGTCCGTAAAGGTTTTCAATTATATATATTGAAATTAATTAGTGCCCCGATTGGCAGTTAATATTGATTCCTTGAGGAGATGAGGGCGCGTCCAAACTAATTCGTACTCACACACCAACACACACACACCAACACACACACACACACAGACACACACACACACACATAGATAAACACATATGTTATAAAAATGCTAAAACATCAAAACTGCCGTTAATTTAAAAATATTGAGTATAAAAAACACAAAGAATTATACATATATATACATGTATGTGTACAAATATATATGCATATATGTATGTATATATATATTTATATACATAAATAAATTTATATAACCGAACTAAACTGCTATTTTGTAAATAAGTAAGTCGGAGTTGAAGCTGAACATATAGACGTAGATAAAACCCAAACAACAACTTAAAACAAACAAAAAAAATCCCAAAAAAATAAAACAAATAAAAACATATACAAAAAAAAAAAAAAAACAAAAAAGCTGCTAACGATACAAAAACAATAATTAAACTTAGCAAACTGCTACACGACAAGAAACACACACACACACACAAAATACCAAAGAGATTACCATGAAAAAAAAAGCATGAAATAAATACCAAAAAATATCAGAGAACACGGCAATCAAGCGAACCACAGGGCCGTTGATCTTCCAGCAGACCCAACCCAAACTCAATTCTCCGCAAAAGAGAAGGATTTCAAAAACCCAAAAGAAAACAAACAGAAAAAGAAAAAAAAACAGATAAACATGCTTCTGGCATAGAGTTAACCAATATTTAGATCATAATTACTTAGAAATCGCTTCAGTTTGTAGTTAACTACGCATATGTACTATATCTTTTATGTCTCCACATTCTATTTAAAGAACCTAATATATTTGTGCATATATGTGCATTTCGTCTAACCAGCAGGGTGTGTCTCATTTTATGAGTTCAAACCTTATGTAATTTAACTCTTCCTTTCTCAAATGGTATAACTTATTATCATTTTATTTCCACGTTCAATCTAGCGACTTCAACTTTTGTCAATCTCGAAAATATGGAAAATATCTCTATATATACGATATAAACCAAAAAAGCACCTTTCTATGATTCTACTTAACACACACACACACACACACACACACACACACACAATGAGAGATATAATAGTTAATTTGAATTAAAATTTCTTGAGATATTAACACACACACATACACACACACACACACACAAATATACTTAGTATGCTTCCATTGAACTACAGAGTGTGTAACGTATCTAATCTGAAAGTGACTGCAAAATTTGCTGTAAATTTCCATAAAAATACCAAAAATACTTAAAAAATATTTTTAAAAAATTATCCTAAAAAATACCGAAAACGCGCTTTGCATTCAACATAACCTCAAAGAAACCACAATTACTTTTGGACCACATTTAAACATCTCACAAAAACGTATCGAACAATTGAACTAAGCTGAAACATACGCATACAAATATATAGATGTATGTATATATGTGTATATATATGCTATAGCTATATGATATATGTATATATATATATATATGTATATGTATACCATGTATGTAAGTCTCGTATGTTTCTGTGTAATAATGCGACTGAATAACAAAGTTTTTATTGATTTGCTGCTTGTTGTAATTAAGAAAAAAAGTAAAATAAAATAAAAAAATATTTGTAAAAAAAAACAGTTAAACAAAAAAATATTGTAAATATGTAAAGAAAATGATAAAGACAAGAAAGTAAAAAAAATCAAATCAATTTACAGCTTTGAATACCGTCCACACGCACACAGTAAACGTTTAAAGCAAATACAGAGATGATCTCAAGATGAGCGAGAAGGAAGATAGAGAGACATGAAGAAGGAGAAAGAGAAAGAGAGAATGGAAGAGCGGTAGAGTTGGAGAGATTAACTTAAATTAAAATCAATTTTGAATTAGCAAACGACAACAGCAAAGCGACTTAGCGTTGAGATCTGCAAAAGTATAGAGTACATATTAAACGTATACTTGATTTTTGGCCTTAAAAAAAAAACAAAACAAAATGAATGAACAAACCAAAAAAAAAAAAAATGATATATGCAAAATTTAGTTGATATGAAACAAAAGTTGAAGTAACCGTTTTGGGCGCCCATACGTGTATTTTTTGTACATTATATATTATATATTTTGTATGTATATACATATAATATAATATAATATATGATTAAATATGATTTTGTGATTAGTTTTCGTGAGTTTTGGTTCGGTTCCTGAGATCAAACGAGTAACGAGTTGTTCGAATGCAGCCAATTTAAATAAAAAACAACAAAGAGCAATGATATACATATAATATGCATACAAATTATTATTAATAAACTATAATATATTATTAACTCTAATTAAATATCGAGTAACAAAAATACATAAAAACAAAAACAATTTGCAAGCAAAACAAATTAAAAAAACATATCGTCTTCAAGTCATGCGAGAAGTTTTTTTTTTTATTGTTGTTTTTTACCAAGTAAATTATTCTAATGCTAGACAAGGCTTACTAAGTAGAAACTAAAGACAAAAACAGACAGAGCAAGAACGAGCAGGAGGGCAACAGCGCGCGAGTGAGATAGATAGCGAGAGAGCGTGAGAGCGTGAGAGCGAGCGAGCGAGAGGGAGGCAGGAACAGAAGCGTTTTGTCTGGGCTAACTTGGCCAGGCCGGACATTAAGAAACAAAGTGATATAAAACATACATATAAAAAAAAAAAGAAACCAAACAGAGAAAGAAAAACAAAATAAACTTGCCAAAATAATTAAGTTTAAACATTAAACCTAACAACACGAACACCAAAAAAACCAAAAAACAAAACAAAACAGAAACTAAAAAGAGTTAAATCGATAAATAAATAAAACTAAGCTCTCTCAATAACTGAGAAAGGCGTTTAGTCTATGGCCTAGGGAAAATTAAAGTTCAGCCAGCAGCAGCCGCAGCAGCAGCAGCAAATAATTATATATCTAGTTTAATAGGCATTTTAACATAGGCAATCCTTATTATAATACTCCTAATAATATTAAAAACAAACAAGCAAAAAAAAAAAACAGAATTTAAAATACAAATAATACTAACAATAATCATTATGAAATCTAATACTGCAACCTTCAAGCTGAGCTTTGCTATTGAGTAACAATTTCCGAAACAGAACTACCAACAAAATACCTAATGCTAACAAACAAGAAAATACCAAAAAAATACCAACACAAAATACTAACTTATAATGAGAGAATAATCTTACCAATAAAGTTGTCAATTTGCGTTGCCTATTTTCAAATTTGGTTTAGAAATTCATTAATAAAGAAGACTGGAATAAAAGCAAATGAAAAACAAAAAAAAAAAATAAAATTAAATAAAGTAAACACATATATACATATGTATATACATGTGTCTGTATTATGCAATAGACATATGTATGTAAACACATATAAAATGAGAACAATGTCAATACAAATACATATGCGATGCGTTCGAAAGGCATTCGAATTATAAGCAAAGGATACTAACTACTTACTATAATATAAATACGCATATTTAACAGATATTAGTGTATATATGCATGTATGTACATGCCCGTATGTGTGTATGTATGTACAGGCATCCATAGTAGATAAATCCAAGCCAGTTAAGCCCAGATAATTTTGATAAACATTTTATTCATTTATCTAATTGTCATCAATTTCTTTACTCTCCACACAAAAAAATTAACAAGAAATCAATGAAATATTTAGCTCAACAAATAAAAAAAGTGAAGCGTTTCGGCATGCCGAACCCTGAATACCCTTGCAGATTTGTTAATATCTAAATCATTTTTAAGAACTCTGCATTAAAGTCCGATTTACTAGAGTTCAAAGTCTAACTCTTTGCCTCTTGGTTCACCTAAGTTCACCTAAGATATCTCTACATCTAACAAATTTATTAAATTTTGGCAGTCGAACAGTTACATTGTTCCGATTCCACATGTTCTAGAAGGAGAAGAAAAAACGAACGTCTGTTAGCATACCGATAATGTCAGTTAAACAGTTACATTGTTCCGATTCCATATGTTCCAGAAGGAGAAGAAAAAACGAACGTCTGTTAGCATACCGATAATGTGAGTTAAGCAGTTACATTGTTCCGATTCCATATGTTCCAGAAGGAGAAGAAAAAACGAACGTCTGTTAGCATACCGATAATGTGAGTTAAACAGGTACATTGTTCCGATCTACCCGTTCCAAAAATAAACTAATGAACGAATAATAACCTATTTAACGAACAATGATAGCTAAACCCTAAAGTGTTCCGATTCGACTTGTTCCCAAGTAAGAAGAACAAAAGCAAATGACTATTAGCATACAGAAAATTAAAGTCTACTTGTTCTAGCTTAAGTAGAAAAAATGAATCACTATTATAATACAGAAAATTCGAAAATGACAGTTACATTGTTCC